GGAGGTTGCTGTGAGCTGTGATGCCACAGCACTCTACCCAGGGGGATAGCTTGAGGCTCTGTCTCAAAAAAAAAAAACAAAGCCAGCACCAAAGTAATTTGCTCTTCTTAGGCCCTGAGACATTAGTTAAAATCAGTTATAAATTAAGGCAAGATCATAAATAGTTAACTTTGATTCCAAATATACACTGAGTTGACTTACTCTCTATTCTGCTTGCCAACTGTGTGACACCCCTACCTTGCTTGACCCAACGAGGTCAGTACCTCACTCTGCATTGGAAGACTCCACAGAAGGTTCAATAAGACGATCACTTGCAAAATAAATGGGGAACGTTTCCACGAAGGTCCAGGGACCCCAGGAACACTTTCCTGCTGACTATGTCATCCTTCATATTTTCTGTACTGTAGGTAACCACAGTTAATTTACCTGTCTTGCTTTTCTGCCACAGCAAGTCTATCAGCATCTGGGTCATTCGCTAAAATAATTTTGGCATTGGTCTTGTCAGCCAAAGCAAAAGATAAAGTCTGAAAAAGAGTAATAAAAGATTACTTAAGTCAAGAATCAAGTGTATGACAGTCTTTAGTTCTTTAGAACAAAGTGAGTACTTTCCCCAAATGAAGGCTGAATTTTATTTCTGGAGCTGGTCTTGGTTGGTTGCATGTTAGCTCCCTACGTCAGTGATCAGATAATAAGAGGATCTGTGTGTGACCCAAACCTGCCCGTGTGATCTATGACACGGGACAGTAAACGTGCCTTTGGATTATGTCTAGGCATTGCTCTGCGGTCAACCTCACAAACAAACCCAAACAAACTACCTTTCTGCATATCACTGTCACCCCAACCTTCAAAAATGTGATAGGAACCAGAAGATAAATAATACTTCTTCATATCAGAAAAATGACAATTGAGGAATTGAAGTCACAGTATGATAAAACGCCATTCTATTACTGTTTCTTTTTGGCATTAAGGAAGCACAGTAAATTAAACCAAAATTAAATTAACTAATTTTAATTTTTTTTTTTTTGAGACAAGTCTCACTTTGCCGCCCTCGGCAGAGTGCCATGGCATCACAGCTCACAGCAACCTCAAGCTCCTGGGCTCAGGTGATCCTCTCGCCTCAGCTTCCTAAGTATGTGGTACTACAGGCACCCACCATAACACTAGCTATTTTTAGAGATAGGGTCTCACTCTTGCTCAGGCTGGTCTCCAACTCCTGAGCACCAGCAACCCACAGGGGTAGGATTACAGGCAAGAGCCACTAGGCTCAGCCTAAATTAATTAAATTTAAAGTGCCATTTAGATTTCAGCTCTTATATCCTGATGTTAGGATGTCTACTTTGAAAGCTCCTTTAAGAAATCAATGATCAACCAATACACTTATTTCCAACAATGAAATTAGTTTTTCTTTAGCACATAGAAATTTATTTTACTTGACATTAACAGTTTTGAATATGAAAGGCAGATTTCACAATTTTAAAAAAATGTGGTTACCAAAACACCTTTTCCCTCTTCAGGATTCGGGTATTTCACTGTTGGAAACTCAGGATCAGGATCTTTCTGTTCGGGAACAGCCTCAGGAGGAACAAGGTCAAAAGCCTTGAAAGCCGACTGCACAAAGTTATGACCCACTCCATGGACAGAGGTGTGCACAAACTTCACCTTGGTCTCCCTGTTCACGCTCCTAGAATCAGACACACCATCGAAAATGATAAAAGAGGCAGCACCCATAGCTCAGTGAGTAGGGTGCCAGCCACATACATTGGGGCTGGCAAGTTCGAACCCAGCCCAGGCCTGCTAAACAACAAGCTACAACAACAACAACAACAACAACAACAAAATAGCTGGGCATTGTGGCAGGTGCCTGTAGGCCCAGCTGGTCAGGAGGCTGAGGCAAGAGAATTGCTTAGGCCCAAGAATTTGAGGTTGCTGTGACCTCTGACACCACAGCACTCTACTGAGGGTGACAAAGTAAACCTCTGTCCCCCGCCCAAAAAAAAAAGAAAGAAAGAAAAAGGAATAAAAGAAAGAAAAGAGAAGAAAATGATAAAAGATAGAAATACGGGCGGCACCTGTGGCTCAAGGAGTAGGGCGCCAGCCTCATATACCGGAGATGGTGGGTTCAAACCCGGCCCTGGCCAAAAATTGCAAAAGAAAAACAAAAACAAAAAAAGATAGAAATACAGCTCCCCAAACTTTGAAGGTTTACAAAATATCAAAGAACCAGAGTCATGAGAATGGAAGAAATTGATGTAATAAGAATGTACGACTAAATATCTTTCTAACTCCTCTTAGAAAATGTATCCATTCTCTCTCAAATATACACATCCCCCCCTTCCAACATACTCAAGTTTTACATTTTACTCTGCAGTTATTTCCACCAAATCATATTTACAGATTTTATTCTATGGGAGAGCTTTCGCATCTGGAGTAGGGTACAATGAATAACCTCAGGTCCCAGCATGAGACTCACAACTGGCCCAACAGGTGCCCACAGAGCAGAGACACAGCTGGCTGTGCCAGCCTCAGGGCTCCAGAGATTCTTTCTGAGCTTCAGAAAGAATGAAAATTATTTCCATAATGTTCCTTTAAAAATATGTGATGGATTATCCCAACATGGATAAATAAAAAATAAAACTTCTTCTTTGCCAAGTAACAATCCCATTTAGTAAAGTGCCATGATATAGGAACTTAATAAAGGATGACAATAAACATCAAAATTAAAAGAAGTTATAGAACAGTAAACATAAGGTTTGGAAAACTTCGAATGCTCTGATGACAGACTATTAGGTTATTATCCATTTCTTTTGGAAATGAATACACAAACAAGGTCTTCTCAAAGACAACAGTGGTTTAAAATAAACATACCCTTGAAAATAAAATGCATCTAGTAAAATAAATATACAAGATCAGTGAGGAGAAATTTGGGGGGGGAAACCTCTCAGATATTAAAATACATTATGAAGGTATAATAATTAAAACAGTATGGAGCTCAGGAGTTGGAGACCAACAAGAGTAAGACCCCCATCTCTAAAAATAGTTTGGTAGTGTGGCAGTCACCTATAATCCCAGCTACTTGAGAGGCTGAGGCAAGAGGATCACTTGAGTTGAAGAGTTTGAGGTTTGCTGTGAACTATGGGGGCACTGTAGCACTCTACCCAGGATGACAGAGTGAGACTCTGTCTCAAAAAAAAAATAAAATAAAATAAAATACATTATAAAGCTATAATAAGTAAAACAGTGATCCAATTTGAACCACTAAAGCCTAGTGGTTAACATGCTCTGGAGCCAGACCCAAATTTAACTCCTGGAACTCTGCCACTCAGAAGTTTTGTGACCAATGGCTATCTACTTAAACCTTCTTTGTTACAATGTGCTCATCTACAAAATGGTAATATACCAGAACTTACCCTCAGCATTACCACGAGCATTGAAAAGAAGGGCCTCTAGCAATTATCAGATGTATCATAAGCACTTGATTAATGCTAGAAACAGCTTCATAAAGGTGACATACCCAATTAGCCAAAAAAAGAGATAGTTTCTTCAATTTATGATATTGGTATTGTTACAAAAAAACAAATCTGTTTTCCTACTTTGTACCCCATACAAAATTAAAAATCACCAATGACTCAAAAGATTGAAATATCATAAAACGTAAGTTTTAGAAAAAACATGGGAAATTTTGTGAAAAATTAACTTCAGTGGCTTATGCCTGTAATCCTAGCACTCTGGGAAGCCAAGGTAGGCAGATTGCTTGAGCTCAAGAGTTAGAGACTAGCCTGAGCAAGTGCAAGACCCTGTCTCTAAAAAAAAAAAAAAAGCCAGGCATGTAGTGAGTGCCTGTAGTCCTGGCCACTCTGGAGGTTGAGTCAAGAGAATTGCTTGAGCCCAAAAGTCTGATGTCGCTGTGAGTTAACAACATGGCACTCAACCCCAGAACAACTGAGTGAGACTCTCTCTCTCAAAAAAAAAAAAAAAAAATTAACTTCAGTCTAGAGAAAGTCTTCCTAAGTATGACATAAAACCCAGAAGCCATAAATTTAAAGACTAATATATATTATCAAACTTTTAGAAACAGTTCAGCAAAAGGTTTCAATAAAAAACTCCAAAAATAACAGCAGAAGGGAAAACATCTTTTTAATCAATCTACAAATTAATTTAGAAATAAATAAAGATGGTTTTCTGTATAAACAAAGAAGTTCTACAAATACAAAAGATGAACTGGGTGTGGTGGCTCACACCTGTAATCCTAACATTTTGGGCAGCTGAGCTTGAGCCCAGGAATTTCAGACCTAGCTGGACAACATAAGAGACTTTGTCTCTGCAAAAAAAAGAAAAAATTAACCAGGCACGCCGGTGGGCCATGTAGCCCTAGCTACTCAGGAGGCTGAGATGGGAAGATGGGTTGAGCCCAGGAGCTTTGCATTGCAGATGACAGCCCAGGCAACAGAACCAGACACCTGCTTTGGGTTTGTACTCCTTCAACGACATACCATCCATGGGTGCTTTTGCACTACAATAGCAGGGTGGAATAGTTGAGAAAGAATTTGTACCACCTGCAAAGCCAAAAATACTGTGTCCCCCATTAAGAAAAGTTTGCCAAACCGCAGTCTACAGACTCTAAAATCAGATGCAGCTGCAGGATATGCTCCAATGAAAGAGGAAAAATTCACGGAAATTGGTAGAAGTTAGTTGCCTGAACCACATTAACGTAACTAACTCACTTAGGGTCAGAAAAGACACAATCCGTTTACCTGTGGAAACAATATTTTTTAAGGTCTTCAAAATAATCATTATTGATAGAAGCACTTGGGTTGTGGAGAAGTGGACTGCTATCAATTAAAGAATCATCCCAAGCTTGAGGCCATGGCTCTAGATTTTCTTCGATAGCTTGGGAAATTCCTTTATCGTGAGGAGAGATGATCTGAGCTCCATTATCCCAGTAGACCTAGAGAACCCAGGAACACATTCAAAAAGTTCCATTAAAGAAAATAAAGGTAATGACCTATGCCCCCCGACAGGAAAGATACAAGATTCCCATAGAAGGACACAAATATGGATGGAAAAATAAAAATACCTTATAACCATTATCTTGCTTTGGATTATGAGAGGCAGTTACCATGATTCCAGCACAAAGTTTCAAATGTGACACTGTGTAGGGCTGTAATACACCAGGAAATAAGAGCAAACAGTTTTTAACAAAAAATTGAGTATCTTTTACAATGTCTATTGTATACATTGTACCAACTTGTTCCCTTTCAAGAAACACAATAAATAATATCACAATGTCTCAGCCACTATTTTTGCACCACACCCAAGCAGTAAACTTTTAATTACCCTTGGAACTAACTGGCTGCTCAAAATTTCAGGATGTGGCCTAATTTGAAAGATGAGTAATTTCTTTCTGATCCTGTTGTCTGCTTTGGAGAGCTAGAAAACTCTTCAAACAAACAAAAAAATGGCACCTCTATTCCATGTTTTTTGGGGTGTGCGTGTGTAGACAGGGCCTCACCCTGTAGCCAAGGTGGAGTGCAGGGGCGTGATCACAGCTCACTGTCATCTTGAACTCCTGGGCTCAAGTGATCCTCCTTGAGCCTCCCAAAGTGCTGGAATTTTTAAGTGTGAGCCTCCGGGCCTGGCCTCCACATTCTTCTTAGGTTTCCCCTTGGTAGAGGAGCTTATTAAGTTAGCTTATTCCTCCCAACTGCTTTGCCTTCTCCTCCTCTTGCTCACTGCTTTTAAGGAAAAGGTCGAGAAGAAAGTTGGAGAAACAGAGAACGCTCTTACAGCTCACTCACTTATCTCTCCTCCAGGGCTGAAGACTCTCCCTCATATGTTGACTGGGCTCCCATCTTTACAAGACTACTGCCCACAGCTGGAGGAGGGGCGGTTAGATTATCCCCCTATAGCTGCAAATAAGATTTATTACACATAGGCAACCTGAGATGTCAATGACCAGTCATCCCCTCCAGCCTCTCGCCAAAAATCATTGCAGTCACTTGACCCTTTGGAAGTCACATCACCTCTCTCAGGGGTCCTGAAGCAAAGAAAAGAGGAGAACTGCTCCATAGTGTAGGGAAATGGTCACAAGATACTCATGTAATTCAGTCTGTGATAAAAATAATGGCTATTAATATCTAGTACCAAAGACAATTAGGATGCTTGAACACAGTGTGATTTTTCCATCAAAATCACAATGAAAATCAGGCACGGTAGCTTAAGTTTGCGATCTCAGCACTTTGGGGGGTTGAAGCAGGAGGATAACTTGAAGTCAGGAGTTCAAGATTAGCCTGGGCAACACAGTAAGACTATATATATATATCAATTGATTATATATAACAATTTATACATATATAAAAAACTATATATATATATATAAAACAATTAGCCAGGTGCACACCACTGGAAGGCTACTTGGAAGGCTGAGATAGGAGGATCCTTTGAGCCCAGTTCGAAGTTAAGACAGTGAGCTATAATTGTGGCACTGCATTCCAGCCTGGGTGACAGAACAAGATCCTGTCTCTAAAAACAAACAAAAAACCCCAGTGAAATGAGAACTACTTTTGAACATGACATAGAGTGTCCACTGGGATGTTTACAATCTGGGAAGTGTTGCAGGTACCTGTTGGTGCACTAGAAATGGCAAGCGCTAAGGGAAACTGACTTCTGTAGTGATACTCTCACTTGAACTTGATGTAAGTAACCACATCCTGATCTTTTGTTCTCAGCATCTGGCTGGCCCCGCTCTTAAATGATCTGACTACTTCAAAAGCAACAGCTGTCACAGTCCCTGCTTTTCCTTAGATTCTACTACATTAAGGATTTGATAAAAAGTCTTACTCAAAGATTCCAAGCATGCTCTCTGTACCAGCCACGAAAAGTATTTAAAATGAAACATTTGTATAAAAAGTGGGTGCATCAACTTGTCAAGAATATTCATGACAGGCCGAGTGTTGGTGCTCATGCCTATAATCCTAGCACTCTGGGAGGCCGAGGCAGGCCGAGGCAGGTGGATTGCTTGAGCTCATGGGTTCGAGACCAGCCTGAGCAAGATCGAGACCCTCGATCTAAAAATAGCCAGGTATTGTGGCGGACGCCTATAGTCCCAGCTACTTGGGAGGCTGAGGCAAGAGAATTGCCTAAGCCCAGGAGTTGGAGGTTGCTGTGAGCTGTGATACCACAACACTCTACCAAGAGTGACAAATGAAACTCTGTCTCAAAAAAAAAAAAAAAAAAGACTATTCATCATAAGAGTTTGAGGTTAATTCAGATTTAGACACAAATAACCACGAAAAAGAGCTACACATCAAATAAAAAAAAACACAAAATATCATTTGCTCATGTGCTAAAATACCCTTACAAGGCAAGCAAAAGGAAACATGAAGATTTCAAAAAGTTAGTTCTGATGGAGGTAGCACCTGTGGCTCAAGGAGTAGGGTGCTGGCCTCATATGCTAGAGGTGGCGGGTTCAAACCCAGCCCCGGCCAAAAACTGCAAAAAAAAAAAAGTTAGTTCTGATGAATGTCAAGTTGAATACCAGAGACATATCACTAGGATGTGAGAGAGAATGCCTCATCAATGCCGAGGAACTCTTCTGTCACTCAAATAGCCCAATCCTAACAGCCCCGAAGACTGTAAAATTCAGCCAAGTCTCATCCCTGACCCTGGGATAGCAAATTATAAAAATGTATAACATTTATAAAATTATACAAGTTACTTACCACGAAGGGGGTGGGAGTTATATCATTAAAGAGGTACACGGGAATCCCCTGACTAATAAATGTGGTTGCAGCAAGCCGGGCAAACCTGGGAGTACAGGGTGACAGGGAAGAAAAAGAGAGTCCAGCTGTCAAGACCTCAGGTGACGGGAAGAAGGAAATGAATGCTTGGCCCTTCCTGACGTAGAACACAATAGCCAGATCAAGGACAAGGCTTCTTCCACAGATGTACACTGGCACAGGACATTAAAGCCGGAGGACCCTTAGGAGCCATCTAATTCCACCTCTTTGTTTTATAGAAATGGGACTTGAGCTGAGAAAAGCCAGGGGCCTTGCCCACATCCAGCCACCACTAAGCAGCCGAGCCAGGATGCACCCAGGCCCCCAGCTCACCTGCCATCCAGCTCCGTTTCCCAGCTGTGGTAATTCTCCCCCACCCACCCGCAGGGCATCTGAAGTGACTGCAGACATTTTTGGTTGTCATATAGGGGAAAGGGGGACATGCTACTGGCGCTAGTGGATGGAGCTTGGGGTGCTGCCCAACACCCCACCCCGCAGCACACAGGGTAGGCCCCACAGCAAAGAATTAGCTGGCCAGCTGGCACCCTGGGAGGCCGAAGTGGGCATATCCCTTGAGCTCAGGAGCTCGAGACTTGCCTGAGCAAGAGTGAGACCCCCATCTTGACTAAAAATACAATAACTAGCCAGGCAGTGTGGTGGGGACCTACAGTCCCAGCTACTCAGGAGACTGAAGCAGGAGAATTGCTTGAGCCCAGGAGTTTGAGGTTGCTGTGGCCTAGACTGAGACCATGGCATGTTAGCCTGGGCAACAGAGCTAGACTCTACCTCAAAAAAAAAATAATTAATTGAAAAAAAATTATGGGTGCGGTGGCTCATGCCTATAATCCTAGCACTCTGGGAGGCTGAGGCCGGTGGATTACCTGAGCTCACAAGTTAGAGACCAGCCTGAGCAAGAGTAAGACCCTGTCTCTAAAAATAGCCGGGCATTGTGGTGGGTGCCTATAGTCCCAGCTACTTAGGAGGCTGAGGCAAGACAATCACTTGAGCCCAAAAGTTTGAGGTTGCTCTCGGCTGTAACACCACAGCACTCTACCACGGGTGACAAAGTGAGACTGTCTTAAAAAAAAAAATATTTGAGAAGCTCACAGGGCAGATTTAGCCATCTGTGCACTGTGCGTGCTCTGACTGGAGGATCTGATGTGCCCCTGGGGGAGAAGTGGAACATGCTTGTGATCTAATTCTCACCACCCATCCTCTGATACCTGGCTTACTTCACGTGTAAGCCAGCATTTATCCCCTGGGCCTGCAACATTTCTCTTGCATGATTGAAAAACACACACACACAATTTTGAGCCTGCAACACTGAAGACTAAAAACTTTAAAAAACCTTATGCCCTCCTGAATTCAATCTGATACCATCTGGGCATTTTCTCTGGCCACGCTCCCTTCCTCACCGCAACAGACTAGCTCCCCTCCATGCTTCTCTCTTAGATCAGAAGCTCTGGGTGGGCAGAGATAGGACACTATACATTCATCCTTTTCCTTAATAAATATGTTCTCCCAATCTGAGCAACTATTAATACTTCAGACTCTGGACTGATCAAAAATGTATCATAATAGGGCAAAGGTTCAAGTAAACAAGAGGGTCATACAACATGGTTAAGAGTAGGAGTTGGTGAGCTACAGCCCACTTGCCATGCCTGTCCATTTAAGTGTTGTCTGTGGCTATTTCTGAGCGTGATGGTAAAGCTGAGTGGATGTGACAGAGTCCACGTGGGCACCGACATGTAAGACACTATCTGTCTGCTGACCTCAGGCACCAGCCTCCTATGCTGCTGTGACTCCTCTCATTTCATGATGGGAGGGCAAAAAGATAAAGTGGAGACCTTATATGTTGTTGGGAGGATTAAATGAATAAATATATAAGTGCTTGGTTCATAACCAGAACTCAAATGACTGCTGCTGTCACCATCATCACCATCATCTTCATCCACTAACAGCTATAAGAGTCCCATTGGTCTGGGAATGTTACAAAGAGGTACCTTGACATAAGGCTTATGAATAAGAAAAGAACATTACATAAAAAGAAGTAAATGAGAGGGAGAAATAATATCGCCAGTTTTTAAAAAAAAATGTCTTTCGCTACCTAATAAATGTAAACATTATAACCTCACATTAACCTGAAATAGAAAAAAAAATTAAATAAAAAGGCTTTCATTTAAACAGGTATTACAGGCTCGGCGCCTGTGGCTCAAGCGGCTAAGGCGCCAGCCACATACACCTAAGGCGGCGGGTTCAAATCCAGCCCGGGCCAGCCAAACAACAATAATGGCTGCAACCAAAAAATAGCCAGGCGTTGTGGCGGGCACCTGTGGTCCCAGCTCTTGGGAGGCTGAGGCAGGAGACTCGCTTGAGCCCAGGAGTTGGAGGTTGCTGTGAGCAGTGAAGCCACAGCACTCTACCCAGGGGGATAGCTTGAGGTTGTCTAAAAAAAAAAAAAATAAAATAAAATAACAAAATAAACAGGTATTACATTCTAAATTATCTATGTGCTATTTTCTTAACTTGAATGCATAACCAGAATTTTTATTTTTTATGGGGATGATATTAATAGATGTTAACTCACAAAGTTATTGCAAAGATTGATTGAATTAGTATATTTATTTTTTAATTGGTTTTTTTTTAACTTCAGATTAATTTAAGGGTACAAATCATTAGCTTACAATGTTTGCATTTGTTAGGTAAAGTCCTTGTTGTAGTTGGGTCCCCCTCTTAGGAGGTGAACCATATCCCTTTACATGGTGCCCATTAGGTGGGAGCACACCAATCCCCCTCCCTTTTCCTCTATCCCCCCCCAACAAAATAGAATTTTTAAAAGTTGCAAACAGAATTTACCCATCATTGATTTTGGTTAAACAATGTAGCTAACAAATGTATTTGAAGTCAAGATGTTAAAATGATGATTAAAAATAAAACTATAAAATAAACTACAAAGAAAACCATTTCTTAAAAATGTTTAAGTACCTTCTGCTGCTGCCTCCACTTGGGGGGTGAGCTCGAGCATCAAAACTGATCACAACGCCTCTCTGCTTCAGGTCACTGAATTGTTTTTCCAGGTATCTGCAAAATCCCTAAAAAAAATACCCCATGGCTTAAAAGAGTTTAAGTTTAATACATCTTATATTTCTATGATACAGAAAAATTAACCCAAAATCAAGTTTTCTCAGCTTTCTTTTTTTTTTTTTTAAGTTTTTTGTAGTTTTTGAACCCGCCACCTCTCGTATATGGGCCCAGCACCCTACTCCTTGAGCCCTACTCCAAATTCTCTAAAAGTATTCAAGGTGCCACCCCTTCCTCAGCTTTCATAAGAGAACACTGTAGCTGAGGTGGGGGGCAATCTCTCAGTAATTAAACTGAACAGTAAGAAAATAACAGTTTTACTATTGTCTGTCAGGAACTGTGTTGAGCACTTAGTATCTATTATCTCTGAGCCCTGACCAACTTGGCCAAGAAATGCTACTTAATAGATCAGGAAACTAAGGTACAGTAACTTGCCTACTTTCAGATACACAAGTAGCAAAGCCTGGTTTTGTGCTCAGATCTGGTAAGAGGTGGTTCAGTGTAGGGCTTAAAAAGCATCAGAATCTCTGGATTTATACTCCACTCTTCCCCTTATAAGCAAATTGTAAGTTCTTCTATTTCTTTCTTTCTTTTTTTTGAGACAGAGTCTCACTATGTCACCCTTGGTAGAGTGCCCCGTGGTATCACAGCTCATAGCAACCTCCAATTCTTGGGCTCAAGCGATTCTCTTGCTTCAGCCTCCCAAGTAGCTGGGACTGCAGGTGCCCACCACAACACCCAGATATTTTTTTTGTTGAACTTGTCGTGGTTGTTTAGCTGGCCGAGGTTGGGTTCAAACTCACCAGCCTAGATGTATGTGGCTGGCACCCTAACCACTGTGCAACAGGCACCAAGCCAATTCTTCTATTTCTTGGTGCCTCAGTTTCCTCTTCTGTAAAAAGGGAATAACAGCAATAGCCACCTCATAGGGCTGTTATAAAAAGTTACTTGAACCATGCAAAGTGCTGAGAATTCGACGCTAAGTGAGTCCTATGTAAGCATTTGCCATCCTGAGCATTACTTTTATTGTTATTTCCCTTCAAAGCCTCATAGAACAAAGAGAACTCTGGCTGACTGGGCAAAAAATAATGGTTTGTATTATTTATTCCACTTTGGCTAAAGGAAGTCTCATAAAAAGTACATGCAACTCTAATTTTTGGTCGCTGGATACATCACATCACCAAAGCAATGCCAATTTAGAATGACTTTAGTTTTTCATTGGCAAACATATTGCATAAGGCACATTTTCTGAGGTCGAATGATAGTGTACTGGTTTTATGGGTTCTCCAGAAGGTACTGACATACACTCTAAAGCAGTGGTTCTCAACCTTCCTAATTCTGCAGCCCTTTAATATAGTTCCTGTGGATTGCAACCCCCAAGTTTGAACTGCTGCTCTAAAGCTTCCACAGTGACAGCACCCCACTTCCTCCGTGGTTAACACTTGTGCTGGACCTAAGGCTCAAGGGGGCAAAAAGCATTCAGCTATTGGTCAAAACTCTCACATCTCCTAATTCCGTAAAAGTATTCAAGGCCTGCTGAGAAAATGGTTTAGGGGAGAGGGAGTGCTTATTCTAGAGAAAAGACTCAGTGGGAGAAGAGGGAGGTTTTCAAAAATTGAAATGTTATTATAAAACACAAGAATCAAGCTTGTTTATATGGCTTCAAAAATTAGAACAAATATGTAAAGACTACAGAAAGGCAGATCTTGACTCAAAATAATGAAACATCTTTTAATGACAACAGTACAAAGGTAGAATGGGCTATTTCAGAGGACAATGAGTCCATCCCTGATGAGCTATGGACAGATTAAAGCACCTAAGAACACACAGACCACAGAGCGAGCACAGAACAGAACAGAAAGTCATTGGCAAAATGAAACTGACCTCTATCAATGCAGCAAACCAGAACAGAGTGTCCTGTTTCCTATGAGATGTTCTTGCATCACATACACCTGCTCCCTAAATCTAACCAGACAAATCTGGAGGCTCCTTAGGATGAGACCCCACCCCTGAACGTCAGCAGGCAAGTTACCTACATACACCACAGTGAACATCAGAACAGCAAAAAGTGACCAATGTGTCTGCTCCTCAGCATTCTGCCAGGGAACACTACTCAAGGTTGGGAGAATCCTCTTTCCTCTAATTTTGAAGACACTCCAAGATTTTAAAGATGCACCCGCAGCTCAGATACAACTTTCTTAACTTTTAATATCCCTGTCTCCTATTGTTAGTATCCCAGGATAGACTATGACCACCTTCAGCGTGGTGGGGTTGCAGAGAAAATTATCCCTAGGTAGTGGCTGATTGAACGAGACGATCTTCACGTTTTTTATCATCTTGGTTTTATAGGATTCTTAACTACCACAGGGGCCACTCTCAGAAGAGACCAATTCTTCTACAGGAGGGGCTAGGTGAGATAGATCCTAAATAGAAATACATTTCATCGGCTCGGCACCTATGGCTCAAGTGGCTAAGGCGCCAGCCACATATACCTAAGGTGGTGGGTTCGAATCCAGCCCAGGCCTGCCAAACAACAACCAAAAAAATAGCCGGGCGTTGTGGCGGGCGCCTATGGTCCCAGCTACTTGGAAGGCTGAGGCAGAGACTTGCTTGAGCCCAGGAGTTGGAGATTGCTGTGAGTGATGCCATGGCACTCTACCCAGGGGGACAGCTTGAGGCTCCGTCTCAAAAAAAAAAAAAGAAAAAAAAGAAATACATTTCATCATTCTTTGTAAATGGACAGAGAAGAAAATTCTCTAGGGCAGTGGTTCTCAATCTTCCTAATGCTGCCACCTCATGTTGTGGTGACCCCCCAACCCTAAAATTATTTTAGTTGCTACTTCAGAATTGTACTTTTGCTACTGTTATGAATCGTAATGTAAATATCTGATATGCAGGATGGTCTTAGGCGACCCCTGTGAAAGGGTCATTTGATCCCCAAAGGGGTCGCAACCCACAAGTTGAGAACCACTGCTCTAGTTTATTATAGAATCCCTTAAAGTTCCCTAACAATGGGCCCAACAGCAGGTGAAGACAACTGGATTGTCCAAAGATGGCCACAGCAAAATATCCCATCCAACACGTTACTCTTGCCACGTGGATGTGATCTCGATGTTTATTCAGTGAAGGGTGTGGGCCTACATGCCCTCTCCTTGAATATAAGCCAGACTTACTGACTTCCAACACACAGAATAAGGTGGAAGTGACTTTGTGTGACTTTCAAAGCTAGGTCATAAAAGTCAGTACAGTTTCCACCTGGTACATCCTCTTTCTCTGGAAGCTCCCTTAGAAAACAACCACCATGCTACAAGGAAGCAGAAGCCACATGTGGGTGGCTCAGCCCCAGCTGATCGCAACCCACAGCCAGCAATAACTGCAGCCAGGTGAATGAGGGAGGGCTGCAGAAAGGACCAGAGGGGAGCTGCCTCACTCAGCTCTCGCCGAGCGACAGGTCTGTGAGCAAAATAAATGTGGTTGTTGTTTCAAGTCACTATGCTTTGGATGATTCATTACAAAGGCCTAGTAACTGAACAGGCTTCCTGTACTTATTCTACTCTAAGCCCTTCCTCCAAGATCTCAGGGAGCCTCTAGGAAAATGGTTCTCAACCTGTGGGTCGTGACGCACAGGAACTGTATTAAAGGGTCGTGGCATTAGGAAGGTTGAGAACCACTGCTCTAGGACCTAGAGGCTAGGTTAATAGACCTTATTAACCTAGAGACTAGGTTAACAAGAGTTTGTGGTCAGGAGTTCTTTGGCAACTCTGCTCTCACTGGGTTTTGCTAGAACATGCCTCGCTCTACCTTTTACACTGGGGTGTGCATGTAAGGCACACAGAATCATTATTAGGCAATTTTTCTTTTTCTTTTAACAAAGTTGTTATTTATTTATTTTTGTTTGTTTGTTTTTTGCAGTTTTTGGCCAGGGCTGGGTTTGAACCCGACACCTCCGGCATTTGGGACTGGCACCTTACCCTTTTGAGTCACAGGTGCTGCCCTAGGCAATTTTTCTAGCCTTTGCTTTTCCAGAATTAAAGTGACATCATTGTTAATTAGTCTAAGTTGAAGAAATAGAATAATCTGTTCTTGGTGGCAGCTCTTGTTTTGTCAAAGTCCCTATCTCTACTCCTAAAGTTGGTCTAGACTTTGACTACAAAATTCTCAAATTAAGGCAAGAAATTCAATAATAGCTTCACCCCATACTGTAAGTTAAAACAGAATCAGCTTTTGGTCATTTGGGCAATTAGGAAAGCTTTTCAGTGCTTGCGTCTACATAATCATGGCAAAAATTAGATGACCTTAAAAGTCAGTCTACTTAGTTGGTGCAAAAGCTCCATGAGGGAGTCTGTTTCAGTCATTCTTATATCCCCAAGGCCTGGCACGTTGTAGGCGCTCAATTAATCTGATGAATGAATGAATAAATGAATGAATGGCTATCCAGGTCCTGAAACACGTGCTGCTTCAACCAACTGTGCAAGGCTTACTTTATGGTGGTGGTGACTGCTAAGACATGTTCACAATTAAAACAAGTCTATCACATACAACAGGAACCAGGGGATGTGTTAAGAGTCACTAGGAATTATGAAACCGTACCTGTGTGGTCTGGATGATGGTCAGGTCGTTCATACAAGAAATTCCTGCTCCCATAGCAGCTCGAAGGCCTGCTGTCCCAAACTCCATTCGGGCCCCAAAACATTTCTGTAGTTCTTCTTTATTACCTTCTGCTATGAGACGTTTCACTGACTCCAAAGTTAAAGGATTCTGCAAAACAGAAATGTATAGACCAGATACAGCTAGACAAAGAGAGTGAAACATCAGAAATATAAAAACCCTGTAGTATTTCTAACCTGTAAGAAGAAAAAAATACATAAACATAGGCGTTTCAATTTTCTAATGCTTTTGAAATATGAAATCTGTTTATTTGACATTAAAATGTAAGTCTTATTTTCTCTCCTACTAAGGTAAGCACTTTTGGAGAAATGGAAATAGAGCTTTTTTTTTTTTTTTTTTTTGAGACAGAGCCTCAAGCTGTCCCCCTGGGTAGAGTGCCGTGGCATTACAGCTCACAGCAACCTCCAACTCCTGGGCTCAAGCGAGTCTCCTGCCTCCGCCTCCCAAGTAGCTGGGACTACAGGCGCCCGCCACAACGCCCAGCTATTTTTTGGTTGCAGCCATCATTGTTGTTTGGCGGGTCCGGGCTGGGGATTCGAACCTGCCACCTTAGGTGTACGTGGCTGGCGCCTTAGCCGGTTGAGCTATAGGCGCCGAGCCGGAAATAGAGCTTTTTAACATAGGAATCTTAACACTCAGAATGGGATTCCAGCCACACTTACCAATTTGCATGCTCAGGTAGATTATCTAGCTTCTCTAATTCTTAGTTTCCCCCTCTGTAAAATGGGAACAATCTAGATTCTAGGACCTCCCTTACATAGTTTTTAAGGTTTAAGGGGGTTTACATCAAATTAATGTAAAATACTTTTCTCTACTTGGTCCTTTGTTATGATTAAATATTCATTTCCTTCCTTAATGCCCTGATATTTTCCCAGAGAATGATAGATTATATAGTCCATTAATAAATCAAAACTTTACTTTTTATCTTGACATAGTGGTACAATCCTAGCACTTTAGGAGGCTGAGGCAGGAGGATTGCTTGAGGCCAGGAGTTCGAGACCAACCCGGACAACAGGGTAAGACCCTGTCTCCACAAAACAGAAAAATAAACCAGGTGTAGTGGCCTGCACCTGCAGTTCCAGCTACTTGGGAGACTGAGGCAGAAGGATGGCTTGAAGCTTCAATGAGCTTGAGGCTTCAGTGAGCTATGATGACACCACTGCACTCTAGCCTAGACATCAGGATGAGACTTTCTCACAAAAACAAACCCCCCAAAGCCCACCACCTTACTTTTACAATGTTTCATAATTTGTGCAAGCATTCACATACCCAGTCAACTCTGATCTTGCAATGACACCAAGAAGCAGGCAAGTGACACAAATTCCATTTCACAAATGGGGAAGTCTCAGAGACTGAGCAATGGACTCAAGCTGCCTGATAAGCATGACCTAGTGACTTTTCTAGCCTCTAAGTTACCATACAAACATCCCACTTCTGTACAACTTGCATTTACAAATGGAGGCGATTACAGCAAGTCCCTCAGTTACAAACATCCAACTCACCAACTTGTACCTACAAATAGAGACTATTACAGGAAATAGGTAGATGTATCTGTTTCAACTTACATACCAATTGGACTTAAGAATAAATCTACAGAAACTATCTTGTTCATAACCTGGTGACTGCCTACAATAACTGCTCAAATGGACTCTAACAGGAATCAGTTAAGGTATATATTGCTGTATTTTCCTTGAACAACAATTGCAGAAAATGTTAAGATTGGAGAAAAATAATGACAACCATTAATTTCCTATGAGACTTAAATTACGAGTTCAGGAGACAAAGTCAGTCTATTCTTATCTCACAGTTATCATCTATTTAAATGCACACTCAGGCAAGATGTGGCCACATAATTAAACTTTGAAATGCTATTGCAATTAAACCTTGGGTTTTTGGAATTAAGCCCACATTTCCAGATTGTTGCAGGTTCATTAGGGATCTGGTAATCCCTACCTTTTTCTGGTTAAAAGCAATAGGCATTTATCACAGAGCACAAAGTTACCTGGCAGATGGCCAGGTGCCCCCCAGGAAGAGCTCAGATCTGGTACCTAAGAGAGGTTCAATAATACTTGTGGAACCGATGAGAAAACACAGACTTCACTTTTAGCCCCCATATTCAGTAACTCCCTTGTTCAGCGTAGATTAGAAAGTCCTAATTGGCCTTTGGTGTCTATAAAAGACCAAGTAGCCTAAGAGGAACAAAGGAACAGAAAGAAAAATGAAGAGTCAAGAGGGGAGAGGATCAGAATCAGCCTGAAAGTGACCCAAATCAGAGAAAAGGAGCAGCAGAGAAAGGACAGAGGGCACCACTGGGGGCCTTGCCACCCCTAGGGTGATCACATCAGAGCTGCAATGCTTTTAGCTCCTGGGAGGGTCACTGGAGGATGAAGAGGACCATGTCCTCCCCACATTGATGCCCGTCTCGCCAAAGAAGAACTGCAGAGAGGAAAGTGCAGGAGCAGTGGTTAAAAATTCAAAAGTGAAAAGGGACAGCATCTCCTCACATTTACCCAGGGAGCTGGCCAGCTACAGTCTTTCTATACACTGATGCAACCTGGTGTAGGTATGTGTGTGTGCGCACGTGTGTGCGCTTCAACAGAAAAAAAATTTTTTTTTGAGAGTCTCACCCTGTCACCCTTGGATTGAGTGCCATGGCATCATCATAGCTCACAGCAACTTCAAACTCTTGGGCCCAAGTGATCCTCATGCCTCAGTTTGCCTCATCTCCTGGAGTAGATGGGACTACAGGTGACTGCCACAATGTTCAGCTACTTTTTCTATTTTTAGTAAAGATGGAGTTTCACTCTTGCTCAGGCTGGTCTCAAGCCCCTGAGCTCAAGCAATCCACCCACTGCTGCCTCCCAGAGTGCTAGGATTACAGGGCCCCACACCCAGCCCAAAGGGAAAATGTTATGGGACAAGGCATTATTAATGCTGACTTCAAAAGAATTCTGGCTCTACCAGTTCTAAGTTATCAGAAATGGAAACACTTTCCCTTTAATAACCACAAATTTCCAGGAATAGAAAAACCGCCCAAGGAGTTCCTGATAGCATCCTGGAAATGGAATTTGGTGTCATGTTATTTACAGGGGCCAGAGACAAAACAAAACAAAACAAAAACAAAGAGCCGGCCCCTGCTGGAGGAGCTTCCAATCTCCTTCATTCATTCAGCAAACATTTTAGGGACCAAGGCAGTTAGTGAGAGCACACAGGGCCCCATCTGTAATTTGCTGGGGCCCAGAGCAAAATGAAAATGGGTGACCCTTTGTTCAACAGTTAAAAACATTAGGGGCGGCGCCTGTGGCTCAAAAAGGCAGGACACGGGGCCCCACATGCCAGAGGTGGCCGGTTCAAACCCAGCCCGGCCAAAAAACAAAAACAAACAAAAAAAGACTTTAAGACAGGACAGGAGAGCAGTAAATGAAAAGTAGGCCCTTCTAGAAGCACGGTCCCCAGGGACTGCGGGGTTCCACACCTCCGCCGTCAACCCTGGAGAGGGTATTAAACAAATCTGCGAACAAATGTTTGGTTTAGGGGTGTGGAGGAGTTGTTTTTACCAATTACGATAAGAGATAAAAAGGAAAAGAATAAGTTTAGAGAGAATAGCTGGGGCAAGTAATTTACACTTCAGAGCCGGAAAGGTCTCTCTCAGCCATACTGAAGTTCAGACCCCACACGAGTAACACAAGAATATGGTCAGCAGAAGAGACCAGGGAGGGACATTCCGGGAGTTAACAGGGATGCAGGAGCAGGTAAGGAAGACGGAGAGTTAGAGAAGAGAGAGGGAGTGACGTCCGCGCTGGGTCCCTGAGCCTTCTCGCTCCAGCATCTCAGGGAGTAAGGAGGGAGAAAAGCCAGGCTGTGTCCAAAGGCTACCTTCTCGGCAAAGTCAGGGCTCTAAGGAAGACTTCTGAATTCAGCAACCCACCTGGGAGCGCCTGTGTTTGTAATCAAGCCCTCAGGAGGGGTGAACCCAAACGCCACTCTGCAAAGATCCGCGAGGGAAAACTAGGCGGGACGGAGCGATTCTGGGTCCACAGGGGCTGAGCAGCCAACTACAGAAGACGAGCCCGTGGTCAGAGTGACCTGACCGCGGCGTGTGCGCCTTGACCAGACAAAGCCAGGAGCCCCGCCGCGCAGAGACCACCCCGGCTCGCTCCCCCTCTCCGGACCTGCGGTCTCGGCAGGCAGGGTGGCTGGTTTTGTGCCGGGACTTTTCCTGGCCTAACTCCGGACCTGCCAGATGCCGGCCGGGCCAGATGAGCCCAGGCCTCCTTCGCATCCTCCTCCTTGCCCTGCCCGTGGAGCCCGCGCTGCCGGGCAGTGTGGGAGAGGAGCAAAGGAAGGAAGCCACCGCCACCCGCAGGAAACGCGGCGCCCGCCACCCCCTCCTGCGCTCCCGGCCTCCCGGCCTCCCGGCCTCCCAGCGCCCCTCACCTTGTCCCAGCGCAGCCACCGTGCCGTCTCCTCGTCCAGCCGGGTGTCCATGCCGGAGCCGCTGCTGCTGCCGCTGCCAGCCGAGTGCTGCCGCGACCGATTTTAGGAGGAGGCTAGCTCGGCCTTCCGGCCCGCCCGGAGAGGCGGAAGCGAGGGCAGAGAGAAGCGCTCGGGGCCGGCGGGGCCCGGAGGAGGTGCCGCCCGCCGCGCCGGGCACGCCCGCCTGCAGTCCGCGGGAGCCCCGCCCGGGGTGGGGGTGGGGAGGAGGAGGGGGTGGGAGTGCTGGGGCCCGAGGATGCCGGTACCAGCATCTCTGAGAGGTTCCGAGGTTACCCGGTCCCTGAAGCAGCTGTCGGCTGAGCCCCAGCTGTGCGCCAGGCCGGTGTCAGGTGCTGGGGTCGGCAAACCGGTACACTCAGGAGCCTGAAAGTTACGTATTAAAGAGAAATGCAGAAGGTCAAGAGGAGCCAAGAAAATAGCCGCTGGAACAAGAAGAACAAAGTGAGAGGATGAGGTGTACAGACCTGTGGAACCTAAGGGAGAATCGCAGTCAGAACTTCTTGAGGAGGACACTTTATTCCCGAGGTGGCATTTCAGAGCCCGGGGGAAGGACTATTTCCCATGTAGAAAAAAGAAAAAAAGAAACTTGGCCCCCACGACCTCACATCACACACAGAAATGATTCCAGATCAAATTTGAAAGTAAAATGAAACTTGTACACATCGACATAGAAGTACATCATCGTGACCTTGGAAATAGAGAATGCGCACACGTGTGAGCGGGAAAAGGCGTGGGCAAGAATGCTGCTAGCAGAATTATTTGTAAAAAGCCTCCAACTGAAAACGACCCAAATATCCAATGGAGAAATACTGTATATGATGCTATATTCACACCAGTTCATATAAATAAATGACAGTATATTAATATAGCAATGAAAATGACCTCCTGTGACTCGGAACATAATGGATGACTCACAAACATTGAATGAAAAAAGTCAGACCTCACCCCCAAAACATCAGAAAAGAAAAACAAAGTCAGTGGTTCCCAAGCTCTGGGAGGTGGGAGGAAGGGAAGTTGAGTACACAGGGCACAAGGGAACTTGGGAAGTGAAGAAACTGTTCTGTATCTCTCTCTCTCTTTTTTTTTTTTTTTTTTTTTTTGAGACGGTGTCTCACTTTGTTGCCCTGGGTAGAGTGCTGTGGTGTCACAGCTCACAGCAACTTCAAACTCTTGGGCTTAAGCCTTCCTCTTGCCTCCGTTTTTTTTTTTCTTTTTTAGTAGAGATGGGGGGCAGGGATGTCTCACTCTTACTCAGGCTGGTCAGGAGCTCCACCCAACTAGGCCTCCCAGCATGCTAGGATTACAGGCATGAGCCCGGGCACCTGGCCTGTATCTTGATTGAGCTGTGGTTGTACAATTCTATGCATTAATTAGAATCCACAGGACTGTATGCTGTAAATGGCAAAGTTCACCATAAGTTTTAGCTCAATCTTTTAAAGTTGAGATTAAAAACTAAAAAGCATGCAAAACTAATGCATGGACGTCAGGAGAGCAGTTACCTTTGGGAAGGAGGGAAAGTGCCTGCGGGGAATCTGGGGCAGGTCCATTTCTTCACCTGGGTGGAGGTTGCACAGGTGTGTTCCCTTTGTGATACGTCACTGTCTTATGTGATGTGCATTTTTTCCCATTTCTTCAATTTTAAAAGAAAACAGTATGTAATCTCGGATCTGTGATGTCTGTTTAGGTGTAAAGAGAGAGGCATATTAATCATCTAACTGCAGTAGTCAGTACTAATTACAAACTGATTATGCTGATGGGAAAGCAAGGAGATCCCCTGACAGGTAACAGAGGCCACCCTAGCCAGGAAGTTTCCCCGAGCCTGAAGCTTAAGAGAGAAGCAAGGCAAGAAGATGCGGTTTACACTGGAGGACACAGCAGGGAAACACTTTTCAGACAGACTATAGTCCATTCCCTAAGCTGAAAGGCTGGAGCACAGAGGAGGATAGGCAGCCTTGGCTTCACCATCTGTCAGACTTTCCCCAGGTCAGCCACACTTGGGCCGTCTCCTTTCTTTGCACCAGACCAACCTTCTCTTTAGTTACTCTAGGGCAGAAATTGGCAGGTCACGGAGAATCAGAGACCATCCTAGTCTCCCTCGCCCTTGTTTTCCTCTGTGTGGCTTCCAGCCTTCTGCCAATGGAGGAGGGAGAATGGGGAGTGTCTCTAAGTACCCAGCAGTTCTAGGCCTCAGAATTTATATGGGTCCTTCCATGATGGGGGTGATTGCAGGTGAATCTCAGCTATGGTTCTAAGGTGTGGGGTGTGGGGTGGTAAAGGGGTATGGTGACACTTTTTATTTTATTAGACATTGTGGGCCCAGGGTGGCATCCAATCAGAACCGTTTTAACACCAAGGAGCAGATTTCTGAATATTGCGTTACAGAAACAACTATTAGCTATGTCTGACGTAGATAACATTAGGTGATGCTTATAGAAAGCAAGTATGATTTTTTTTTTAAGCAGAGAAGAACTTTTAACAAGGAAATTGCCAAATTGTAAGTGAATTCTCCTCCCTTACTGAGGAAGATGCCAAGATCTGAGGTGTGGTGCTGAGAACAAAGCACAATAGTCACACTCTGTTCCTCCAGCTGCTTCCTGCATGCAGCCTTGTGTTGGGGGCTTTTCTACTCCCCCGAGACTTTCCCAGATGTATCTAAAGTGTATCCTTTTCCTGTATCTAAAGTGCTGACACTGGCGGTTTTGACACTGATGCTACAGGGACCTGTAGCTGTGGATTTCCTACACATGACCCACAGTGACCTGAAGCTGTGGATTTCCTACACATGACCCACAGTTATCATTTCATGACTGTGGAAGCCCACGTGGAATAGGAGATTTCACCAGGTTGTTTCAGAGAACAACCTCGATCTGTTTATTGTACAGGTGACAAAAAGGAGACTGAAAATTGAAGAGCTTTTTGTCTAAGAATATAGCTGGTTAATGACAAAGCCAGTATTCCTGCTTTGGGTCTCTGGACTTCCTAATTTAATGATCATTCCCTCTCCTGTTACATTCAGCCCATCCTACACATGTCCATTTCAAAGAAAGTTCCATGAACTTCGGTAACCTGCTTCCCTGTGATAAGAGCGGGCTCTTGATGAAAAACAAATATTAACTTGCCTGACATAGATAACATTAGGTGATGCTTAAAATAACTTCATTTCGTTGTGCGTGCTCCCTTGCTGCCCAGGAACTCCTTCACACGTGGGCAACCCAGTTTCCTTGGAAGGCTTTCCAATGGCCCCAAATACCTGGTCAGCAATTGGATCAGTTCCTTTGTATCCTGCCAAAAATAGTCCTAAAACCTTTTTTGGGAAACTTTTAAATATTTACTAAAATTGATCCCCAGGTAACAGTCACGCAGCTCAGCAATGATCAATCCATGGCCAGTCTTATGTCACCCACTCACATCGCCCCTCCTGTATGAGTTTGAAGAAGATTCTGGACACCTTATCATTTCACCTATCAGTATTTTGGCCTATATCTCTGAAACATGAGGACACTTTAAAAATAACTGCAAAACCATTATCTCACCTAAAACTTTTTTTTTGAAACAGAGTTTTACTTTCTTTGTTGCCCTCAGTAGAGTGCTATGGCATTATAGCTCACAGCAACCTCACACTCTTGGGCTCAAATGATTCTCTTGCCCCAGCCTCTCCAGTAGCTGGGACTACAGGTGTCTGCTATACCACCAGCTGTTTTTAGAGAGGGGATCTCGCTCTAGCTCAGGCTGGTCTTGAACTCCTGAGTTCAAGCAATCCACCTGTGTCAGCCTCCCAGCGTGCTGGGATTAGAGGCATGAGCCTCCATGCCTACCACTCACCTAAAACCTTAGAAAGTGAGTAACTCATAAATATCACTAAATGTTCATATAGTGCTCTTTTTTTTCCCCTACAGTTGGCTTAAATAAAAAACCAAATAATCTTCCCACTGGTTGAAAAGCCTTTTAGGTCTCTTTTAATGTGTAGGCAGAACAATTTCTTTGCAACTTATTTGTCAAAGAAGCTAGGTTGTATGTCCTGTAGAGTTTCTTAGTCTGGGTTTTGCTGATTTTGCCTCTGGGGTTCTTTAGCATGTCCTGCCCTCTCTTCTCTTTCCTGTCAGCTCATTTTGTTCTAATTTTCTCTTTCTGATCTCTCCCTCACTGGACTCTGACTTCCTGAAAAGCAGGAATGGAGTCTGATTTATCTTTGCTTACCCAGAGCCTAGCACTGCAAGTGGATAAGGGATTAATAAAATCAGGTGGCTGTTGATTCTGTCCTCATGTGGGGTCAGGTGGCCTGGGACTCGTTCTAGACTTTGCTCTTTATATGCTAGGTGCCCTGGGAAAGTCATTTAACCTCTCTCGGCCTTGCTTTCTTAGTTCAAAAATAGAAGAACTAGTAGTATCCACCTCATGAAGTGATGTGGGACTTAAATGAGGGAATACATGTAAAATGCTTAGCATGGTGCCAGACATAGAGGAAGGGCTTAATAAATGAGTAAATAAATAAATACATAGCTAGAATTATGGAAATCCAACTGGTGTGGCATTCTGCATTGGTCAGGATAGGCCAAGCTAAAGTATTAATAATAAATTAGTCACTAAATTCCAGGACTTCATGAAACTAAGACTTTTTTTCTCGTTCACCTAACACATCCACAGTGGTCAATGGATGCTACACTCCGCACACTCCGGCATCACAGCTCCCATCTGTGGCTCCCCCATCTTTATGTGGCCGCTGCAGTTGCCATGGAAGGAGAAAGAGAAGCCTGGAGGCCACACAGATGGCTCTTAAATGCTTCTGCCTGGAA